AGCGGTTTAAAATATAGAACTCTTGGCAAACAGGTTTTTCTTTCAACACTAAACATGTAGTTCTATAGCCTTCTGGTCACTATGGTTTCCAATGAGAAATCTCTCATACACAATGAGTTGCTTCTCTTAACTTTCAAGATCTTCTCTTCATTTTTGTTTTTCAACAGTTTGATTATAATGTATCTAGGTCTGGCTCTTTTTGTGTTCATTTACTTGAATTTCATGAGCTTCTTGGATTCATATAATAGATTCATACCTTTCATCAGTTTTGGAATATTTTTGGCCATTATTTCTTCAAATATTTTTTTCTCTTCCTTTCTCTCTCTCTTCTCCTTCTAGGATTCCCATAATGACTGTTGGTCCTCTTGATAGTGTCTCACAGTTCCCTTAGGCTCAGTTCCCTTTTCTTCATTTTTTTTTTTGTTTGTTTGTTTCTATTTCTGACACTCAATAGTTTCATTTGTCTTACAGTCCAATTCAGTTATTTTTTCTGCCTACTTAAATCTGCTACTGATCATCTCTAGTAAAACTTTCATTATGGTTGTGCTTTTCAGCCCCCAAATTTCTGCTCATTTGTTGATATTTGTTGATATTTGTGTTTTGTTCATACATCATTTTCTTGATTTTGTTTTAGTTTTGTTCATGTTTTCCTTTAGTTCTTTGACTATACTTAAGACAGTTTTTTCAAGACAGTTGTTTTAAAATTTTTTTTAGTAAGTACAACATACATGCTTCCTGAGGGATGATTTTTTGTCCATTTATTTTGTTCCTTTGAATAGGCCATACTTTCCTGTTTATTTATATGCCTTGTGATTTATTTTTTGTTGAAAACTAGCTATTTGATTATCATAACTTAGTTATTTTGAAAATTAAATTGACCCCTTCCCCAGGTTGTACTGTTTTTAATTTTTAATTTTTGATGGATATAACATTTCATTTATTTAGTGAATTTTCAAAATTATTATATATCCTTTAGCATAGCCAGTGAAATCTTTGTTTCTTTAGCTTGTGTTTAGACAATGTTTAACAGAGATTGTCAAGCAATCTTTTAAATGCCAGGCACATTTTTAAGTTGTTTTTTTCTTGATTCAACTATTGTTTGGTTGTTGTAAACCTTTGAGTCTTGTCCAGAGTCTGACAAAGCTAGTTCCAACAGTTTTTGCTTGCTTTTCAATGTTTCTGTGAGGGAATAAGAGCTTAAAGGTGTCTCTTCCACCACTTTGCTGACCTTCTTTTGAGATGAATTGTTTTGATGAATATTGAATTATTTTTTGACATTTATATTTTTCTTTTAGCACTTTAAATATGTCATCAAACTGCCTTCTAGCTTCCGTGGTTTTGATGAGAAATCAGCTTTCAATCTTATTGAGGATTCTTTACTCAATGAATCACTTCTCTCTTGCTACTTTCAAGAGTCTCTATCTTTGGCTTTGATAGTTTGGTTATAATGTGTTTAGGTGTGCATTTCTTTGTGTTGATTTTACTTTGAATTCATTGAGCTTCTTGGATTTTCAGAATCATGTATTTCTTCAAATTTGGGGAGTTTGGCCATTATTTATTCAAATATGTGTGTGTGTGTGTGTGTGTGTGTGTGTGTGTGTGTGTGTGTGTATGTTTTCTTGCCCTTTTTTCTCTTTTCTCTTCTGGCCTCACATTATATATATGTTGTACACTTGATAGTGTCCCAGGATTCTTCTTATGCTCTGATTAATTTTCATTATTTAATCTTCTTTCTGCTCCTCCAACTGTATAATTTAAATTGATCTGTTTTTCAGTTCATTGATTCTTTCTTTTGATTGCTCTAATATGCTGTTGAAATCCTCTAGCAACCTTTTTTTTCATATCAGTTATTGTACTTTCTAGCTCCAGAATTTTTATTTAGTTCCTCCTTATAACTTCTATCTTTTTATTGATATTTTATATTTGGCGAGACATTGTTCTCCTTATTTCCTTTAATTTTTGTCCAAGATTTTTTTTTTTAGCTCTTTAAGCATTTTTCAGTTGATTAGCAGTCTTTAGCTAGTATCTCCAATATCTGGATTCACTTCAGCACAGCTTCTATTAATTAGTATGTGTGTGTGTGTGTGTATGTGTTCGTGTGTGTGTGTGTGTCTGTGTGTCTGTGTGTGTTTGTGCGTGCGCGCATGCGTGCAGGCACACTTATGTATGTGTGTGTGCCCAAACCATATTTTCTTGTTTCATTCCAAGCCTTATTAAAAAAAAAAATTCCGTCAGTTTGAATATTTTAATGTGGTAACTCTAGAACTCCATTTTTCCTCTCCCCAGAGCTTGTTATCTCTAATTGTTGTAAGTTGTGGTTTGTTTATATATTGACTTTTCTAAACTATTTTTGTAAAGATTGAATTCTTTGCCACGTGTCACCACTCAATTTTCTTTTCTATGAGCTTAGCAGTTAGCTAATTATTGCATAGAGATTTCCTTAAATGCCTGCAGCTGAAACAACTACTACAACAGTAAACTCTCTTGGTCTTTGCAGGTTGGCTCTGCTTATCTGAGCTATTTATTCTGCCTTAGCTTTCACTTCCTGCTTGCATAGTAGCTAAATATCAGCCAGAGGTGAAATTTTAGGGTCTTGTCTATTCTTTTTTTAAACATATGTTTAAGCCTGAGTAGGTGTATGGCTTTCTAGATTCTCCAGTATATGGAAGACATTTTTAAACATAGTATTCCCTCTATATCCCCTTTCCCAGTCTTTTATTTCCCATACTTTTTGTTCAGTTTACTATTTGCTCTGACTTTTATCTCTTGATCGAGGGATTGGTGGCTAGGCTATATATCATTCAATGCCTTTAATAAATCCCTCTCAGGTATACCTTTCAACCCTCAGTGAGCTCTAAGGTGGATAAAATATAGGCAAGTTTCTGAGCTGACACCTAAGGGAGCAACTAGACAGGTTAAAATATATAATCACAATTCTTTGAGAACAAGGTTTGATTGTTCCCTCCAGCATCAACAAGCTGTCCAAAAAATGTAGGTTGCCGCTTTGTTTTCTCTACCAAGCTATGGCGTGAGTACTGGTAGGTAGGTAAGTTTAAATGCCATAATACTTTCTTACATAATTTCAGTGGATTGTTTCTTTATTAAGCATTGCCTTGGATCTTTTAAGTTTTTTATTAGGTGCCAGTGTCCCCTGAAAATTGATTCTGATTGTTTTTGCCAGCTTAATCATTACTTTAGGGGAGAGAAACTGTTATTTTCAATGACATCACCCTGGGATGATAACTTTTAAATAAGAAAGGAGAAAAAAAGATATAAGCTTTAAGAAGAAAAGAGAATAAAGGGCATTTTGATAAATACATCAATAAGAATGATTTTGGAAATTGTCATCCTTCCGGAATGAGAAAATATGCTCTACCAGACAAGAAGTCTATGTCAGCAGTCCCCAACCTTTTTGGCACTGGGGACCAGTGCTCCTATGAGAATCTAATGTCTGATGATTTGAGGTGAAACTAAGGTGATGATGCTAGCACAGGGGAGCGGCTGCAAATACAGATGAAGTTTCTCTTGCTAGCCCGCTGTTCATCTCCTGCTGTGCGACCTGGTTCCTAACAGGTCACTGACCGGTACTGGTCTGTGGCCCGGGGATTGGGGACCCCTGGTCTATGTGGCTGATATAGGGAACCAGGTACATGAATGCTAAAGACTTCTATGTTATTTTTAGAAATAAAATGGGCCATTGTAGAGATTAACAAAAATTCGGGGCACATTTCTACACTCAACATATAATTTAAACTCAGAGTTGTAAAAGTATAATTTGTTCTATTTTTAAAAATTATCTTGACAAAATCAAATTCAGGTAAATCCAAGTCTACCAAAATATCTTCTCTCCTCCCTAATCTTTTTATAAAGTGAATATATATCTTATACTTTCTACACTGTCTCTTTTTCTTCAGATATAAAATTCTGCTTCTAAATTAGATTAGATCCTATGTGAGCAAACAAACTAAAACTCTACTTGACCTTTGGTTATATTTATTTCTCCATGTCAGATTGTTTAACCTTTTTATTTTTTCTGAACAGTGTTAGTGGTTAACTCAACTCATTTGTAACATTTAACAAACAATGCTAGGATAGAATTTTTTTCTTTTTTTTTCTTTTTTTTTTGAGAAAAATAAACAAATGCAAAAATGCTTATTAAGTAATGAAGTTTTATGATTGCTATTTAAATAATAATCCAAAAAATGATAAATTTTCATAACTGACTTGCTTTTCTCATTATCAAGCTATATCTTCCAAGCGCGATTCTGAGTTACATAGTCATTCCAACTAGAAGCTATTGAGTAAAGAGCTATTACTTGAGTAGTTTTTACTTTTGAAGTTCTTTGGGCTTAGAGTTAGTGATAGCATAGATT